GAGCTGAACACATCTAAGGCGTTTTCATCGCTCTAGCATGCCTCTATCAAAAGTTATTTGCGAAAAACTGCTAGATACCATTCGTGACCTAAGATGACCTCAGGGCATAAACAAGGGTCACGGACACCATTTTCATGTTTAGTGTGTCTAAACCACTTGTAATTCGGTGTTTGGGAGTGTTTATAATGTCTTTCGTCCAAAAGAGGCGCATTTCAATTTTCTCCCATTGACTTATAATGGGGAGGTCGCAAAATTGACCTGCCCTTAGGTCATCGATATCAAAATTCTGAGATATACATTTTGTACATGCTATTGCTCTTAGCAATCGCTGAAAGTTTCAAAGCGATCGCTCACTCGGTGTAGCTATGACAGACATTGAAACTTTTTATGAGGTGAGGTCACTTCAAGTGACCTGGCGACCTGACCTTGAATGCCCTTGGTCTAAAATTTTCACAACATGTGTAGAATTGATGTATGATAAGGTGTACCAAAAACGGCGGCGCGGAGCGCCGCCGTTTTTGAGATATTCGCGAAAAACCACAAGGGGGGGTGTTCAACCCCCCCCCAGCAGGGCGCGGTTTATAAGACCATCAGGTGCGGGTTAGGTCAACGGGTCTTCTAGGGAATGCGCTATAACATACAACGTATTTTGTCGAAAATCAGCGATAGGGCGTCAGTTGCCTAGTACATATGTTGATATTAGAGGTCACTGATAATACCAGGTCAGGTCACAGGTCAGGTCACCAAGGGTCAGCACATGAACCCAACTTTACTAAGGTTGTGCGATGCATGTTTTATGACCAATTTTTCATTTCCAACTGAATGGTGTTGGTTATAAGACCATTAGGTACGGTTCAAGTCAATTTCTGGTGGAGGTCAGGTCAAGGTCAGGTCAAAAAAGGTCAAATTTCAAAGTTGATAGTTTTGCATAAAATGGGTATTGATTCGATGCAACTCGTCACGGGGAGTCTAATGGTGGTCTTTGTTTTACGCTACGAGGTCTAGAAATGCTAAAAATTGAGTTTGAATATTTGACGTCATCAATTTTGAAGTTTTTCCGCTATAACTTGGCCAAAAAAAAGAGGCATCGATCCAAATTTGGTATGTGGATAGAGGGCGGTAGGGACAATCACATATCTTCCGTTTTTTCGAAATTCAAAAAACTTTTTAGATTTTTCGGCTATTATATTCAAAAAAACTATTTTTTATTTTTGGGGATCAAAATCCAAACATTTAAAAAATCCGAGATAGCAGTTTGTAGCCCTGTTCATTCTACACCTTTAATGTAAGAAAAAACATTTTTCTGTATCTCTACAGCTCTTCCCGCGAAACCTTTTTAGTCGAAAATGGCAGAAATGACGTCACTCCGACGTCATTAGCGGCCAACCTATCATAGCCTTTGAAAAAAATTTTGGTCACAATTGCAAAAGCTATTCACGGGAGGGCACTGAAAGTTTGGTGACGAACGGCGCAGTGGTTCTTGAGATATATCGAAAAAACTAAGGGGGGGGGGGGCAAAAATGTCCCCCCTCCCCACCCCTGGAAGAATAATCAGGATCATCATACGAACTTACCTTATCGGCAATATGAGTATGGACTTTGCCATCGCCTCCTACTTGGAATATCGAGTAGCCGTCGTACCAACTGGAAAAGAAAAACGACAATCACAAATTTAGCACTTATCGCAAAGGCTTCTGAACACATCACGACAATCACCTAATTGAGTTAAGAAAAAAATAATGAGGCGTTCCAAATTCATTTTATAGGGGAAAAACTCGCGTGATTATAAGGCAAACAACCAAACAAGGTTATATAAATGATGGAAACTGGTATGCATTGTTAGATTAATTGACGTGGTGTACATTTACAGCCAATGCTTGAGAAGCAGAGAGCGGCACAAGCCAAACACGGCATGAGCATTTGCTTGAGTTACCTATCCATAACTCGGACGAAACTAGATAAGAGAATACGAAGACAACCGTAAGTCAGCGTAACTACTGCACAAACACAGCTACAGCTGTAAGCCGGCTCCAATATTATGAACGTGATTGGCAGCCACCGTAATGAATTGCAAGCTTGATCAAGAACAGGTTTTACTGCAACTAACGTTAGTTTCGAGTTTGCCCCATCTTTGAACGAAACGACAGTAAACTAGATAATTGTAATAATCTGCAACTATTAGCAAAGCCTTTCAACTTTCTAGCATTTTAATCGCGGCTCCGCTGGTTTGCTGTGTGTAAAGTGTAATATGGCAAAATGTTATGGTACACATTGCACTCTAAATTCTACAATTAGCTAAACGGTATTCCAAGAAGCCAAGAAAAGTACTCGCACATCGAGTGTATGGAATGGATCTGTTTAACCCTTTCCTATACCCGCCAGACAGCGGAATAAAAAAAGCAATAGAAAACAATGATACGTGTTACAAAATCAATATCATTATTGATGACAGTACATTTCAGCGTGGATTTCGGGCATTATTGCGAGTGCAGCTCGCATATCCAGTGGCCAGCCCTTAGAACGTCGGAAACCGGTTCTCAGATATTGCAATCGGAGATTTAACACCGAATCGACCCGCATAAAAACGCCCTGACGAGTCCCCTGCAATTTACTCGCGCCCTGCAAATAGCCGCAAAGTAGCGCAGCCTGCAGGCGGGGATGAGATGGAAATTCTTTATTTTCACGCCTTGCAGATAGTCAAGATAGTCAACGTAATACGATCTGCAGGCGAGAGGGTTTGGGATGGAAGGAGCACAGCGGCTAGCTAACGGCGACAAATGTAGTATTTGCCCATTCATCTCGTATTCACTTATTTTATTTTTAGCGTTTGATATATTGCATACCGCAATGTGTATGAGTTTATACTTGACCTTAGTATTCACATATTCCTTTCATCCTCCGTATCGAGAAAATGACACTGACATGAAAATTGAAAAGTTATCTGAATCTCAATTGGCAAATGACGCATCGTTTTGAGATGTATGGCCGAGCGCTACGACGAAAATGTGCAAGGATAAAAGGGCACCACAAGGATAGCAATAATTAATATCGGGGTACGGCTGTGTTTATTTTGTTGCGAGCAATGTCTTTCGGCCTGAAAAGGACACTGCAGAGCAATGGGATGATAGAGTAGGGTGTAGACATTGACCTCGCAGCGGCAAAGACCGTCCCGGTGGAACGGAGTGTCCCGATGGGACAGCCCGCCCTGCCCCTCAAACGGTCACCCCGGAGAGGGTGTGGTCCTGGTGTGGACGTAACCTCAACCACTTGTTGTCTGGTGAAGGTGACCGCCAGCCCCGAAAGGGAAGCGTGATGGGGATGCGGATGGGTTCGTGCTGAAGATGGCGAGGATGAATGAACAGCTGTGAGATTAAAATGAACGTAAATTTGATGAGTGACAAAGCTCTGAAACAAAATGCCGGGCATGGCACACGTCAAAGAGAAAAGACTACATTCTGGGTTTAACACTCCGCAGAGAACTTACAAAAGCTTGGTAAACACCAGACTTTTTTCGCCTACGTGGTGCCCATTTCGCTTTCGCCGAAACAACTTGGCAAAATAAACAGCCACGCTGGATCGAGAGGACTGTGTCGCCATCTACGTGCTATACGCTGTGTTATGCAAATGAGCACTCATAAACCTAAAGCGTAAAAGGTGGCTAACTTTCAATTTCCGAGCTATAGCAGGCTCGTTTCCTGAGATGATAGGTCAGAAGTAGGAGCAAAAAATAATAAACCAGAGCAAAAAGACACAACGACCAATCAAGATACAAATGAGTTAATCAGTGAGACAGCAGCAGCGTCAATCAGTAGCAAATTACAGCACATGAAAAATAGCGCTCAGTGACAGCCACGAGATTTGAGAGTGAGTAACCCGGATCTTTTTATGTGTAGCGGTTTGTTCGGTTAGCTGACTGTGGACGACCTCCGTGGTCACCGACTGGTCTGCGGACTAATTCCGAGAGGATTGCACAACCGCCCGGCCGGCCGGGAGTCGCAGAATGCAGACACGCTACGTGGTGATACGGAAAAAAAAACGCGACCCCAACCGCACTAACGCAAACCTCCAGGTGTGTGTGTTGACGCAAACCCTAGTACACGGTTGTAAGAGAACAGGCATTTAATAACAAGAGATTCTCTATAGCAATGATGAACTTTTGAAACACACCGACACTTCAATCCAATGATTATATAACCGTACCAAGTAACTAGCCCCACCCCACACCAAAGTAGCCCCCTTCCCCGGGTACTCACTCGACTCCATATTCGTCGATCGCCTTCTCCAGCTTAAACACGTTGAACTTCCAGAACATGAGCATCGACTTGAGCGCGCTGACGCCGCGGATCCTCCAGCGGATGCGCACTGTGTCGTCCTCCGCGTGCGTGGCGCTCTGTAGCACCTCCAGCGTCACGTAGCTGAACTTGATGTGGCCCACGATCCTCAGCAGGGCGCACTGCTTGATGTACGGCACGATCCCGCTGCATGGGGAGGGCAGGATTCGGTGAGATACGGGAGATGGAGTAGCTGAGTGAGCAGTGAAGGGACTTGTGCAAACGTAAGGATCGCGATAAATTTGACCGGTATTGATAGAAAAATGTGCAGTCTGTGTTCTCTAATTGTCCACTTGTGAAATCGACGGCAGATGGTTAGCCCGCTGATGGAAGTCACAGCTATCGGGTCCATCCAAGTATTTTGGGTATTTTTACAGACCGATCACTGTGAAATACGCTCATCCGTTAAGTTCGGCCATAAATGTGGTCAGAGATACTTGCGCGACGGCCGATGACGAAACACTGGGCACCGGGACAGTTACTTACACCGTTTTAGTGCCGCGTATTCTGTTGTCAAACACCAAGTTTTGGTGGTATATCGAGAAGTCTTGTGTCATGACGAAAAGTCGTGGTAGCTGAAAAAGAAAATATTGCTTAAATATAAGCACGTAAATATAATTAGATAAATAAAAGAAGTTGACCTTTTCCTCGACATCAAAAATGTAAAAAGCCGAATAATATATTTTAAAAAACGGTGAGCTTTCGGCCACTGGCCTTTATCAAACCAACGTGATAACAATGTTAAAAGACGATCCTGTGAATAATCTGTCTGCCATTTTTCAAAAACCGAAGATCGTGATATTTTAGGAAAGGCGCTACTCATAAGGGCAAACTATTAGATCGATTGTCTACATAGTGTCCGATGTACGTAACATACATAATATACAATTGTACACGTAGCTGTCAAACACACATCGTATGGAAGGTATGCACACTAACGCCGATGTACATCACACACATAACAAAATAATATACACATACACATATTAATCGATTGAGTTGAAAAGGCTACACGCTCACAAGATACACATGATACAGGCGCTTACATGATTGGCCACGACGAAAGATTTGAGTTTATGTGCGGGCGGTTTGCTTTTATAAGTAGGGATTCTGCGATTTTTCTGTCCGGGTGGTCTTTGGAGCGATAAAGGACGCGAACCTGAAGAGGAAGGGATGATTTGTTTAGCGGCGCGCCGGGGTGGTGCTCACGGAAGTGGTCTCCCATCGGGGTCCCTTCGGATGCGCTCAAGGCGTCTCGTAAATGTTCGTTAAATCTTAGTCGAACAGGTCGTTTTGTCTCGCCAATATATGTGCCGTCGTCACCCTTTCCTTCACACAACTTACAATTTAGCCTGTAGACGACGTTCTTCTGTGTACAATCACCTGAAAAATCTGATTTACACATGTTGCATCGTGGGCCTCCAGGGCAGATAGGTTTAGATAGTGATGATCTAACCAGTTTGTTTCGTAGCTTTTGGGGGTTCCTCCATGCTATCCTGACAGCTAAGCCAGATTTCCTAACTTTACTTTGAATTTTGCATAGCAGTTCTTCATCTATGTACGGTAAACATAAGAAGCCATCTTCGCCCTTGTCTCGACTAACTTTACCCATCCTGGATCTGGACCCTTGCTGTTTGACCTCCCACAAGAGCCTTCTAAGAACTTTCTCTGGGTACCCATTTTGAACCAACAATGTCCAAATCTTGTCTATACTCGCCCTCTCTTTAGCACTGCTCGAAGAGTTCCTGATCGCTCGCCGAAACTGACTACGGACTATGTTTTGTTTAGTAGACTTCGGGTGGGCTGATTTATAGTGCAGGATGATCCCTGAGTTCGTAGGTTTTATGTAAAGTTCCGTTTCAATCTTCGTAACCTGGCCCTGGGTCACTACTGTCACTAAGGTATCTAAGAAGGCCACACCCGACTTTGTACCGGAATGCTCCATGGTAAAGCGGAGTGTCGGATGAAGCGAGTTTAAATGCGACAGAAAATCTACTAAAGCCTGCTCTCCATAGGTCCACACGCCTGCGTAATCGTCAATGTACCGAACCAAAAAGGACGGTTTCTGATCCAGGTTTTCTAACGCTTTGCGCTCAAAACGATCCAGAAAGAGAATGGCTATGGGAGGGGCACATGGATTGCCCATAGCGATCCCTAGTGTTTGTCGGTAAAATTTATCATCAAACCTAAATACGTTCTTGGTGAGACAATGCTGAAGGAGATGTTTAATATCATCCTGGGAGAGACCGAAGGTATCCACCTCATCCTGGTGAGCCTCTAACTTCTCCATCACCGCATCGATAGCCTCAGGGATGGGGATGCTTCCATACAAATTCACAACATCTATGCTGAAGAATATAGATCCCTCGGCGAGCCCCTGTCCCTCTGAGTGAGCTGCTAACCGCTGTAGGAAATCACTAGTGTCCCACAAGTGCGTTTCCACAAAGTTCAATAGTTGCTTAAGTATGCGTTCTAAAAGACACGATGTTTTTTCCGTAGGACCCCCACAACCAGATATAACAGGCCTGAGTGGCACTGACTCCTTGTGGTCCTTAGGGAGACCATAAAATACCGGAGTCCTGCTATGGGCCGGTGTCAGCTCCTTAATGGTGTTCTCCGGCAACTTTCCTTGTGACACAGCTTTAAAAACTCTTTTAGTCTCGGCTTCTACCTTGGGGACAGGATTTTTCTCAAGAACCTCGTAGTTTGTGGAGTCGTCTAAAATAGCAAGTGACTTGTTCACATAATCATCCCTATCCATGATCACGAAGCCCTTGCACTTATCGCTCTGCTTAAAAACTACATCATTAGATTTCTGTGCCTTTTTAAGAAAATCTAACTGCTCTCCTGTAACGTTACTTTCATGCACTATATGACTTTTATACGTTTTCACCACATCGTCTTTTAGCTGTTTCAATCTACGCTCCACATCTACACTGGAGGGTGGTGGGAATTTCTTGTCAGTGTCGGGGAAACGGAACGTAAGACCCGACCTGGCACGTGCTGATCCCCGGCTGCTGGTATCAGCTGAAGTTGCAGGTGCCACACGGTCGTCCAGTGCGCCGCCGTTGTCGTTGGCCGTCGCTGATGACCCCGCGATAGCCTCACTGTTGTTGACCGGTGGGACGATGGAGGTGGCCACCGCCGGAGGCGCAGTGCTGGCTTGCGGACCGGAGGCAGGCGCTGTACCAACGGTCGTGGTCGCATCAGTCGCTGTAGTGTTCGCCGGTCTCGTAGTTGTAGTCGTGCTCGAAGTTCTGGATTCGTTGTCGTTCGTTAAAGTGGTCGGCGCAGCACTGTACGCAGATGGTTTCTGTCTGCGAATGGCATCTTGCCACCGTTTGCCATAGGCAAAACGCTCGATCCCCTTTTCAGCTTCTAGAAGTACGTCCTGGGATATCTTTTGAGAAATGGCAAAATTGGGCCCTTTCGAAAGCAACTGTAGATCATCTTCTTTAAGCACGAGTGAAGATAAATTCACAACCCTCCTTGTGTTTGAGAACTGAGCTGCATTGTCATGTGTAGACAGACGAAGCCGATCAGCCTGTAGCTTGCGGAACTTCTGAATCAGTCTTGGTCTATTGTCACGCAGAGTAACATGAAAAACTTCCTCGCAAGTCGAATAAATGTATGAGAGAAGCCTATCATCGTGAAAACTTTGAATCTCTGCATATTGACGGTTGCGCTGTCTAAGAAGATATGCTTTTCTTCTGTACGCCTCGGCGATAGCTTCGTTTAATAACGAATGGGCGAAGGTCTTGCATTTCGTTTGTACCCTCTCAGAGTCACAAAATATCTTTTCTACAGGCTTTAGAGCTTCTTCTATGAAACGGGGATTGATCTTCTCTTTTCTGCAGGCAGTTAGGAACTCTATTCTCAGGATTGTCTTCGCAAGTTTTTCCGGATTTTTTAATGTTTCAACGAGCACTCGGCGACGGTCACTGCTTGGTTCCAGATTGGTAATATTACTAAGTGCTCGAGCGAGGAACATATTGAATATAATTAGATAAATAAAAGAAGTTGACCTTTTCCTCGACATCAAAAATGTAAAAAGCCGAATAATATATTTTAAAAAACGGTGAGCTTTCGGCCACTGGCCTTTATCAAACCAACGTGATAACAATGTTAAAAGACATTGTTATCCCTACTTATTTTTATCCCTACTTATAAAAGCAAACCGCCCGCACATAAACTCAAATCTTTCGTCGTGGCCAATCATGTAAGCGCCTGTATCATGTGTATCTTGTGAGCGTGTAGCCTTTTCAACTCAATCGATTAATATGTGTATGTGTATATTATTTTGTTATGTGTGTGATGTACATCGGCGTTAGTGTGCATACCTTCCATACGATGTGTGTTTGACAGCTACGTGTACAATTGTATATTATGTATGTTACGTACATCGGACACTATGTAGACAATCGATCTAATAGTTTGCCCTTATGAGTAGCGCCTTTCCTAAAATATCACGATCTTCGGTTTTTGAAAAATGGCAGACAGATTATTCACAGGATCGTCTTTTAACATTGTTATCACGTTGGTTTGATAAAGGCCAGTGGCCGAAAGCTCACCGTTTTTTAAAATATATTATTCGGCTTTTTACATTTTTGATGTCGAGGAAAAGGTCAACTTCTTTTATTTATCTAATTATATTCAATATGTTCCTCGCTCGAGCACTTAGTAATATAAGCACGTAAATGATTGACTACAGCGCAATTTCATAAATGAAACACCGTTGAAAACCAAAACTACAGAAAAAGTGGCACCCAAACGGTGAAAGTTCAAACGGTAGGTATTTATCGCAATATTATTAGTAAAAGATGCCAAAAAAGCAGGCTATTACATCTACATTTCATAATCCTCCCTGAAACAGCAACTCCCGATATGCAGGACTGGTCATTCAAAATTATATAAGCATACAGCTCTGATGATGCAGCATTGACCATATAAAAACACGCTGTCGTATATTATAAGGTGGAAAATTATGAACTAACGGGAGCACACACTGCCGTTCTTGTCTAAGAACATTTTTATCGGGTAGGTACAGATCTCGCGGGTTTTAGCGGTAGGTTATGCACCTAGAAAATTTAGTGTACTTCAGGCTATATCTTCGTCGTCTTAAGCTTTTAAGTGTTGAAGATGCGATTGACTTGTTGGTTCACAAGCCGGCCATGATCGTGTAAAATGGCTTCATCGCAGATCGATTAGTTTCTGGGATATAACCGGAAATGTAAAAGTGCAAAACCTACCGCTTAATCTCGCGAGAGCCGTACCTTTAGCACAAGATTACAATTCTAATGGACACGACTGCTCGCGACAAAGATCACTGGCACTGCCAATGTCATAAAGGGCATTCTGCTCCATCAGTTACGGATAAAATGCGGGATGCAGAGCATCTCGATGAGCAAGCCCTTAATATGAATGGAAATAATAAGAGCACGGCGACTTCAATGACCAGAAATAATATGCATTGGATGCAAGAACAGCAACATTTACTCTTCAACTGTCAAATGACCAGGATGCACCTATGATGGCGATCGGTCGTTTACCTCAAATCATTTCCCTACCGAAGTCATCGCATTTTCTGAACTGAATACCGACATCTGCCGACATCAAGCATGCATGTAAAACAGTTTGTGTCAGTTACGATTATGAGTGCGGATAGCTACATGTTCCTAGAACCTGTTTTGCCTTTAAAGTACCGACCAAAATAATATGTCATCTAAGACAAAGCCAAAGGACACTGCCACTAAGGCACATATTCCAGATTTTGAATGACAGCTGCACTGATTTATTATCCATATCATGTCACTGTATACATGGGGCCTCACAACAAAGCAGACAGAGCTATCTGAACTATGATTTCCATGGAACCAATGAAAAATGATAGACGTAAAAGATTTATTGGTACGATTCGCAGGGGAGACGCCCACTTCGTCCCTCCTTCAAGCAAAGTCCAAGCTAGGTTAACCCGCGCACCGACGGGGGTCTGCGCCAACTTCGCACCGACGCACAATGGGACCGGAGCGAAAATTAGCGCGACATCGGTACTTTTTCGTATTTCGTGACCGCTTTTCACATGAAAAGGATGATAGAATCCTAAAAATGGTAGTCGGAGTACTTTCTAAGCAATTTCTGATTAATTTAATTAATTAATCATTAATTAATTCATTAATTAATTGATTAATTAATCGGTTGACCTGCCCTGACCTCGACTCGGCTCGGTCACGTGATAAGACGGCAGCACCTGTCAGGCCAGGTCATGACGGCACCGGAAATTCCGATAAGCAAATAATGTAGCCACCAAAACCGTGAAGATGGGAATCTGATGGCCTACATGACTATATAACAAATTAATTACGGGTCAGAAAAGTGTATCAGAAACTCCGATAGAAGGTACGGATATGTCCGGACAAAACTTTAATATAGTTGGTACTTGGCAACCTTGTTCGATTCCTGAGGTTCTGTTACTCGCGGCTCCCGGCCGCGGCGACCTGGAGTAAAAAATGCCCCTCATTTTCGCTGCCGCAGGCTGACGCAGCTAAATTATACATTTTCTGAAAGGCAATTGATTGGTAAACACCATATTGATAAAAGAACAGCGGGACCTAGCGGGACTTTTTATATCGGCATTCCAGAATATCTATAACAGTAAAATTAACTCACAATTTTAAAAGCACCAAAAAAACTTAACATTTGAAGCGTATTTATATATTCCGCTATGAGTTTTTTCTTCCATCGTGTAGCCCATGGTCTAAACTATCAGGTTAGACGTCTAAAATATTGATAAAGCCGTCTAATATACATATTTTTTGCCTACATTAGCTGCTATTTTTCTCCGTACGAAAACGGGTCTACGATGCTTGGCACAAAACTTTGTGTTTGGGCTGATGTGGCGCGGACGCTGTACACTATGGACGAAAAATATTTGCAGATTCGTGGTCCATGGACATTTCTGAACTACGTGACACAGTTAAACTCAATTTGGGAATGGTCGCCAAATCCACCAATGTCGCGCTAATTCCGGCCGCGGTCCTATCGTGCGACGGGGGGGGGGCGGATGACCGCCCCCCCCCCCTGAGATCTCGAGAACGAAGCAAGCTAGCGACAAGCGGTAAACGGCATCGGATACGCACGGACAAGGTCTACAATTTTTACTAAGGTCATTTTCAGGTCAGGTCAAAGATGACGTCGCAGGGGTCGAAAAAGTCAAAATGGCGGCGCTAGATATGGAGAGAGTTTTTTTCTCGAATAACTTTCGAATTAGAACTAAGGGCATCATCGTGATTCTCTCGTCAATCCGCATCGAATGATATATATGTTGACCTCGAAAGGTCAAGGTCAAAGGTTGACCTCAGGTCACGTGACCTCGAGGTCATCATGTATATCATTCGATGCGTCTTGACGAGCTGAACACAATGAGACCATCCGCGCGGCTGTATCTTGTTCCTGTACGGAGTTATTGGCAAAAAACCGCTGGTGACCTCTGATGACGTCACATACCTTACAGCTGCCCAACAGCAAAACAGAACTCAAGGTAGTGAAGGTTGATCGTATATGAAGTCATGTATGGCATATGGGGCCATTCCGACCCGTTTTAGTGGTAAAAACAGGGAGTTGATTTTTCCCCCATTGACTTATAATGGGGAGGTCGCGAAATTGACCTGACCTTAGGTCACCGACATCAAAATTCCGAGATATACAAATTGTAGCTACTAATGACCTAATAACATCCTGCGACTTTCAAAGGCCTCCGACATCTACTGTAGCTCTGGCATGGTGACAAAGTTGCAAAAAAGTGACTTGAGGTTGGGTCATTAAAAGTGACCTGGTGACCTGACCTTAAAGGTAGTGTGCCAGCTTTCTTGGACCATATGGAGTTAATGACCCGGATAAGGAGAACCGGATTTTTAGAACTTATCCATACCTTCAAAACTTATGGAAACGTCTTAAATTCTTCAAATTTTGAGTACCCCAGTGCGAAATTCGCCCCGACGGGTTGTCGGTCGTACCCCAACCACATTTCACACCACTATGAACAATAAATGCACACACTAAAATCGCTATTACCGATAGGCTCATCCAATCAAGTTTCGATAAACCCGTTCATCATCATCTCCTGCGGTTTCGAACACGCCTGTTAGGTGGCTTCTGATGCTCGTCGAGGTCGGAATTTCCAAATACGCGTGGTGCGTCGGGCCGCGCGCTCTGACTTCGGCCAAGAAAAATGCGTCAGCTGATCATTGTCATTTCTGCCACTTGCGTGTGGTGTAATGGGGTCATAACTTAAGAGACGGCTGTTTCATATCAATTATTTTACATAAAATCATATTTCAAACCACAAATTAATGTTCGACAGCCAAATTTAAGAAACAATACCAATACAGGCTTACAGTTTAAGGCTCGACATTGTGTTGTCTACGATTAGACAGCTGATAACTCATTCCCGTACGTCGTATGGTCGTAACACTATAATGACCTTTGCTTATTGTCACAAGTGCGCCGCATTCGCGATTGTTGCCCGACGACTGTTTGCAGGTGAGCCCACTACAGTTGTTATACATATCTAAAAACCGATAAACTTTTAGGCGAAAAAGGCACTATTCCAGGCCCATTTTTGATTTTTTTTTTTGCGATATTAGGTAAAAACAGAAGCTTCTTATCCTAGGAAAAATAAAACGGGAAATCTTTCAAAGGTGGCACACTACCTTTAAAAGTTAGGAGGTTCAAACTTGCACACCATGTGTAAAATTGATGAGAGAATAGTCATACCAAATTTCGCGGCGCGTAGCGCCGCGGTTTTCCCGCTATCTGCGAAAAACCTCAGGGGGGGGGGGCGGATATCCGCCCCCCCCCGTCGGTGCGCGGATTAATTACGGAGCGAGCGAAGCGAGCGTAGTCTTTCCTTAGATTAACGGAAATTTCTGAGTATGAGCCGGGCCGGCCGGCCGGCCGTGGTCACGCTTTTGCAAGGCCTATATCTCAGCTACCACTTGACCGATTTACATGCAGTAATTTTTGTAGGGCAGCTTCATTCCTTCTACCAAGTATT